AAGCTAAAAATCCTCTTCTCTAATATCTAATTTTCTGCATGGAAAAAATATCTGCTGTCACATGGAATTAAATGGTGCAGGGATCCATGCAAATTTTCCTCTCCAGTGAAGACCAGGTTGCTTCATGATCACAATGCATATAGTCAGAGAAAAGACTCCTACCCCGGATCATGAAATGGAAATAATGGCATGAAGTGCCATGGCATGAAGTGCCCACACATCCCTAGATTCACCCCAGCAATGATACAAGAACCCCCCATGTATGTTGGCAATCTGGTCATCAGGAGAGATATATCTGTCTACGCATACACTGAGGCACAGCCTATAGTCACCATCCTAGCCCTAAATTTGACTGCCGTTAATGTAGCTCGCACCATCCCCATATGTAGCCCATACCTAAAGGCTGCATGGGTGCAATGGTAGGAATTAGAAAGGAGATGGCAGCTGGTGATGCACCCGCTTTTCAGAGCAAAGTGAGATACCATGGACACTATCTTAGGAGGCCTGGGAGTGGGAGCAGGTGTGCTGAATGCCATAGACACTGAAGTTTTGGCCAATAAACTAGGGTTGGTGGGAGCTATTACTAAAGACATAGGCATATCCATAGCCTCTGGTTTGACCAATGTGGCCCAAGGCATAGACATAGTAGGGCACATCCTACCACAATGGGTGGGTATAATGGTTGGGTATAGAAAAGGAGATAATAATAAACCTTGGAAGCTCTATCCAGAGAGGCATATACAATTTATCTATCACCATCCAGTTCACCCAGATACAGAGTAGCCTCATGGCATTCACCTCACAGCTAATACAAGCCTCCCTTATGAAATTAATGCACCCAGAAGTCATGGGATTATTCAAAATCAGATACCCAGACTCTATTCAATATCCAATGGAGCACAATGGGAAGACATGGTCCCTAAGATAAGTTTCTACCATGAGAGAGTTTGGAGCCCTCAGGTTGTCCATCCCATCTCACATGTGGGACTTCCCTTAGCTGAAAGCAACACCACCATGCTACCCGAGAATATGCTACATTGGACCAATGGCACCCACTTATACGACTTGTCGAGATGTGTCAAAACCCAGCAGTGGACGCATTGTTATGGCGGTCTAGAAGGAGCCCACACACAAGACATCCAGGAGATTTTGAGTTCCTGCATGGCAGGGGGTTGGATTGGATGGCCCTTGTGGTCTCTTCCAACTCTATGATTCTATGACTCTATGATTCTATGTTATAGTCCCAGTCAGGCACTCCCTGATGGTCCAAATAACCCATGACTGTTTTTGCTTCCGCACTCCCTGTAATGAGCTTACGCTCATGCCTTTTGAGACATAGATAGAACCAAGGGAAACCCCTGTTTTTGTCGAGTCCACGTGAGGGACTGCTTTAACAGAGATTTTAATTTACAAGAGATAGTCCGGGAATACAACAGTGAGACCATATACCATATAGATAAGGAGGTGCTGGAAGGATTTCATATTGAGGAAGAATTACAGGTCTCCAAATGGCTGCGCCTACTCACTAACTTAAGCGAGGCCACCAAACAAATTGAGCAGACTGAAGCACTGATCAAGTTGATAGTAGACCTTAAGGCAAAACAGATCATTAAAGTCACTCAGGAATATCAAGGAAACGGCCGCCAACTCTTGGTGGGGAGATTGGAGTTGATCTACCATGGGACAAGCACTCGTAAAATTACTCACCAACCCCCTCACTAAAATCCTGGTCATATAGATCTTCACTGTTGTTAAGCAAGTGGCCGAGCTCCGTGCCATTAGATATAAACCGGACCTCCCACAACAGTCAACCAGTAGGCATCACACACCTCTCCACCTGCCGAGCTCCCTCTCCCTTTGGCCTCACCCCTCCGGGGACAAGGGGGGGAGGGACGCCTTCTCTGTTAAGAATGGTGAGGGGATAGTTCTCCCTTCTCACCCCACTGTTGGCAACCAATGCTGGAAGTGACTATCCCTAAGAGTGTTTTCACACAAAATGTAATTTTGAGAGCGGGTTCTTGTGGAACACCCCCCTCCCATGGGAGTGCTTGTTCCACGTATTGTCACCCCTCCTCCACCATGTCCTTGGACCATTCTATGCCTATAACACCTCCAGGGACGGGCATTTCCACCGATCAGCATGAGAGCCCCACTTTGAGCACCCAGCCACCTAAATTCAGAGACTCCCCGCTGCTTCCAGCCACCTTTTAAGTTGAGATGAGCATGATTCACCACAACCACGGCCCAAATCTCTAGTTCACATTCTAAATAACCGTGCCTCCCCCAGGAGCGCCAACACCCTAATTTGACTGCTTTTTCTTTTTCCTAAGACCCCAAATTCCAGCCATTTGCATATTTCCCAACAGCCACAGAATCCCCCCCCCAAAAAATGGCCACCACACAGATGCCAGGCCTCCACACTCGCAGTCTCCACTTCACTCCTCCTGCCCTTCTAGCCAGACTCTCCTACTGGAGAACCGGGGGGGGGGATGCTTCAGTTAAAAGCTTTCACTCATTGGGAGATGGAGGACGGGGCCCCACCTACTGTATGTCCAACAGTTTCCCAGTAGTCCCCACCCCAACTGACGACAATCAAGATGGATGCCACTGTCTCCTAATGGCCAGACGCCCTTAGTCCATTCTAATCAATCCAATCTTTCACCTCGCCACTTGTATGACCAAGCCAGACACTATCCCTGGCCATTCTATTCTAGACCCGGAAGCTTCAAAATTCTGTATGACTACTCCAATAATTTCATGTGATTAAGAGACCTCCCCCGCATCTAAATGCCAGTCTGACTGTGCAGGAAGTCATGGGATCGAACCTGTTTTTTTATTTTCCTTTCTGAAGGTTCCCACAGCCTGAAAAGTATTCAGAGGTCCTATCCATATTGGAAACCTATCCACACCAGCCTAGCCCCATTGGGAGTGGGGGGGGGGGAGAGACTGTCCTCCTTCATCATCCAAAGACATGTAAGTAGTTATAGCTCTATCCTTTACTCTTCCTGTTCTTTCTCTGAGCTCTCAAGGGGAGGTAAGCCCCAGATCCTCTGCTCCTGAACCGGACCTGACCAACAGATGCCATGGATTGCTATTCCTTTCTGCTGCGCAAATGTGCAGATGGACCCGAGGTCCTCCAAGATGTCCTCCCTCTGCCTCAGATGACATCATGAATGCTTTTGCTGATATGAACTTTGCTTATGCCTCCTGGACAGCATAAGCACTCCATCCTGCTGTTGGCATACCAAGATGCCAACCCCGACACCCACTCTGGACAGTGGTCTGAATTTCTTCCAAGCTTTCTGCAACCATGCTCAGAGTTGCTGCATGGGCTAATATTGACTCTTGCCTGCCAAAACACACCAACTGCTTGCTGACATTGGTTCAGACATGGACATTGCTTACTGTGGCTATTATAGCCAACCAGAACTACACTTTATGAACCTTAGGACACCAAAGGACTTGATTTTGCCATTTTACATTACCATCCTACATATGCAATGCTTTGGACTCTTGCTAATTGCTTTACTATCATTGATTATTGCTACTACTTTCAATTACTGATTGCTCTGATTGCTTTATTGGTTGCTTTAGTCCAGGGGTAGGAAACCTAAGGCTCGGGAGCCGGATGTGGTCCCCTGAGGCCTTTGGACCGGCCCCAGGCCTGTCCTGCCGCCGCTGCCCGCCACCGCCGACACACCCATCGCCAGCTGCCATCTCCTTTCTAATTCCTCCCATTGCACTCATGCAGCCTTTAGGTGTGGGCTATATATGGGGATGGTGCGAGCTACATTAACGGCAGTTAAAATTTAGGGCTAGGATGGTGACTATAGGCTGTGCATCAGTGTATGCATAGGCAGATATATCTCTCCTGATGACCAGATTGCCAACATACATGAGGGGTCCTTGTATCATTGCTGGGGTGAATCTAGGGATGTGTGGGCACTTCATGCCATGGCACCCGTCCTTCCTTGGAGGTCTTTAAGCAGAGGCTGGATGGCCATCTGTCGGGGATGCTTTGATTGGGAGTTTCTGCATGGCAGGGGGTTGGACTGGATGGCCCTTGTGGTCTCTTCCAACTCTATAATTCTATGATTCTATGATTTAAAAGAGTTGATCACATTGTACCAAATCCAGCAAAGAGCTGAGCAGTTGCTCTCTTTCACTGCATCATATCCCATCCAGTCAGGAACATCCAATGTTCTTGGCATTTAAAGAACTCCATCAATGAGGGGAAACCTGGCTTCTGTCAGTAATAAGCCTGCATTTCTTTAGTCATTATGAAAATATGCCCTGGATCTCATCATTTATCACAATATGGGCAATGTTAAGCACACTGTGTTCTGCTCCAATACTTCATGACTCAGGCAATGCCTGTCTATAAACATTTAGCACATACATGCAGCACAAGTTTATCATATGAATCTATACTGCACCAAAATAAATCAGGAAATAAAACTTT